TCCTGCAGGGTATCTGATCACTGGCAGGGCACAGCTGTTTTTTGCCCGGGTCTTGTTCTTGCCATTGAACTGGCTTTGAACTGGCTTCTTAGGACTTGCCTCACACGCTGAAGGTATTTAGCCATAGCCGCTCTCCTTTTTGCCAGTTCGAGGTAAGCCGTTGGCTTGTGGTATACCGAGGTACTTGTAGCTGTCCTCAATGTCTGCTTTTGTTCTTTCAGGGACTGAGACCCCTTCAGTGTGGACTACCTTGCCTCTCTTAGTCACCATCTGGCTGCATTTCTCAAGCCCGAATGATGTCTCGATGTCACTGCTGTAGATCCTGGTTGTGTCGATCAGGGAGTCGATCAGGGAGTCTCTGCCCCTTTCGCTCTTAACATACAGCTTTAAGTCATCCATTTAGAGGAGGTGAATGATCGTAGCTCCGTTTCTTAGGCGGTATCCATCGCCAGTCTTGGCGATTACTTGGCTGATGTGATTCAGTCCTATGCACAACAGCAGTGGGGAGAGTCCATCACCTTGGTATATGCCACATTTGATGGACACTTGGGTGAGTGGCTTGCCATTGGATTCAAGTGTGGGTTTCCACATCCTCATCGAGTTCGCAACGAAGGCTCCAAGCATTCAGTGATCCATGTATAGTATGTGGCATCGAGTCATAGGCTTTCTTGTAATCAATCCAGGCTGCGCACAGGTTGGTATGTCGGGACCTGCAGTCTTGTGCGACTATTCTGTCAAACGTGAGCTAATGTTTGGCTCCTCTGGTATCTCTGCCAATGCGCTTCGCTCATGTATTGATCCATGTGTCCACTTATTTTAAACGCAATGATGCCTGATATGAGCTTCCATGTTGTGGAGAGACAGGTTATTAGCCGATAGTTGGATGGGACTGCACCCTTTGAGGGGTCCTTAATGATCAGGATCGTTCTCCCTTCGGTTAGTCATCCTGGGTGAGTCCCATCCCTCAGCAACCAGTTAATTTGTGCTCTTGGAGTGCTGTGAGTTCCTTTAGCCAGTAGGTGTAGACCCTGGTGCTGTCCAGTTTTTCATATCTGAGACTCTTTCCTGTACATCTGCCACTGTTATGGTGACTGAGTTCTGTTCAGGGAGGTTTCTTTGCTCCTCTCTCAGAGTCACCAGCCATTGTGCACTGCTGTTGTGTGCGACCTCCTTCTCCCATATGCCTTTCCAGTACCTTTCAGTTTCCAGTCTTGGTGGGTCTGCTCTTCTGTTAGAACCCTGCCACTGAGCGTACACTTTCGCAGGTTGTGTTGCGAACAGCCTGTTTATTCGTCTGGCCTCATTCTCTTTCGAAACTGTGGTGTTTTCGAAATATAATAATAAACACAAGGAGCGTCTAATCTGGTCGCAACACTCTTATCGCTCTGGTAATGTTTAATGCCTTCAAAATACGATACAACGCAAATTCAAAGTGCATGAAAATGACGACTCACCACAGCCCCGAGCTTGATTTTCTGCAATCAGACAGTCCCATCTCGGGGTAATAGGAGACAATGACACCTCAAGTGTGTGGTTTATGTCCAGTCTACTTCGTAATTTTGTTTTAGTCGCTGTTGCTGCAGAAACTCCCCACCTCATACAGGTAGGATGTCGGAAATAGCAACAGTACTATTGTGGCGATCTCAGAGTATTCAGCCATAACTTTAATCCAGTTGTCTCAAACGTACTTTTAAGGCCGCCGTCATTTGCGATCTCCAAGCAGCTTTTTGACTCATTTTGCGGGCTTCAGCGTTTTGTTTATGAGCGTCATTGGTCACGTGACCGAAAAGTGTGGCTTGACGTGAGTCAAGCATGACACAGACGGATGTAACAGAGAATCCGGTAATTTTTCAAAATAAAACATATTCGTATTCCGAAATAAATAAAACGTAAATAAGGCAAGTTCTTTCTGTGCGGCCCGGTACCAAATGCCCTGCGGACCGGTACCGGTCCACGGACCGGTGGTTGGGGACCCCTGCGGTATGGTCATCTGGATGTACCTTTCAGGTTTCGGCCTTTTCATCACACCTGTCTGGGTCTCTGTCAGTTGCTCACATCTTTCCGAGCCACCTTGATATTAGCCTCCAACCATCTTTTCCATGGTGGATAACGTATCTGGTTGCTCTTATTGCCAAGCATCTCACGGGTCACTGATGCTGAAGCATATATCAGCTCCTTGGTTTACGTGATTGTTACGGTAGGGATCGCCCTCAGTGCTGTATTCACAGTTTCCATGAGACTTTCAGGTGGTACTCCACATAGCCGTTGTAATCGGTTTCTAGGTTGCCCAGCTTTCATTCTTGCCATGATCTTAGCTTTCAGCTCAGTTGCTGCCTCGCTCAGCATTTCATTCATTGGGGCTGGCCTCCCAATCTTATCATCTCTGGTATAACCTCCTCCTCTGATCTGACAGCCTGGGGCCCTTCACCGTGGACCCTGCGTTATACCTCATCAATCTCAAGTTGTGATAGCAATTGCCGTTTGTGGATATTGGAACACCGAGCTACTCGTTGTTTCGTGGTCAACCGTGATTGTGGGTTTCAAATTAACCATCATCACCACATTCTCCTCATGTAACCCCTCTGACTAGGATTGCTTGAGTAGTATCACTCCAACAGAGACATGTTATCGTATCTCGCCCATCTCCGCTTCGTTCCAGTAGCCCATTTTTCGTCAAGGTGCTCTGGTTCCCCAGCACCTGGCGCAGACCTTGTTTGGCCGGGCGACGTCTGAGCCGGCATGTCATTCGTTTTATTGTCTCTCATCATTGAATGACGTAGGCATGAGCGTGAAGGGTCTTGCCCAAGGACCCACACTGGATGGTGTTGTGTGCTCATCTTGCCCCAAGCGGGATTCGAGCCTCCCGTCTCCTGTACGCCGAACCGGTGCCTTACCAACTGAGCTATCCAGCCGCGCTACATATATATATATATAAAATCCTCGTCTCACCCCTCGGGTGGTGTCCGTCCCTCATTCAGCTCGGGTCCTCTACCAGAAGCCAGGAAGCTTGAGGGTTCTGCGCAGTATCCTTGCTGTTCCCAGCACTGCACATTTCTGGACTGAGATGTCTGATGTTGTTCCCGGGACCTGTTGCAACCACTCATCTAGTTTGGGGGTCACTGCCCCGAGTGCTCCGACCACCACAGGCACGACTGTCACCTTTACCTTCCAGGCTCTCTCCAGCTCCTCTCTAAGCCCTTAGTATTTCTCGAGTTTCTCGTGTTCCTTCTTTCTGATGTTTCCATCACTTGGGACCGCTACATCCACTACAACGGCTTTCCTCTGCCCTTTATCTATGATCACGATATCTGGTTGGTTCACCATTACCATCTTGTCAGTCTGGATCTGGAAGTCCCACAGGATCTTCGCTCTGTCATTCTCCACCACCTTCGGAGGTATTTCCCATTTTGACCTTGGGATTTCCAGTCCATACTCCGCACAGATGTTTCGGTAGACTATGCCAGCCACCTGGTTATGGCGTTCCATGTCGGCTTTCCCTGCCAGTATCTTACACCCTGCAGTTATGTGTTGGATCGTCTCGGTTCCCTCTTTGCACAACCTACACCTTGGGTCTTGTCTGGTGTGGTATATCTGGG